GCCAGCCGCCTTAGCTCGAATGCCAGCTCGACGGCATCTTCGCCGCTGCCCTCGCCCATGGATGACACAGTCAGTGCGCCCAGCACTCCCACTCTGACGCCAGCGTTGCAGGAGGCGGCGCAAGCGCCCAGTGTGGGCAGTGCAACCACAGAGGCGGCCACGGGCGATTCACTGGCGCATCTGGGCTGCCCCGCCGGAGTGGATGCTCAGGTCTTCAAGGAGCTGCCAGTTGAGTTGCAAAACGAATTGATTGCCTCATGGCGCAGCTCGCTAGTGGTCGCTGCAGCCAATGCCGTGGAGCAGGCGACCACTAGCAGCGGCAGCTCGGCCAGTGCCGACAGCAGCAGTAGCAGCAGCGGTGCCGGCAGCAGCAGCACCACCACGCAGAAGAATACCCTATATCGTTATTTCCTGAGGAACAAGTGATGTTGTTGTAGCCGCGTTCAACGCAAACTCTGCCTAATTAAGATTAAATACGAAACACATATACACTATATTATATATACACATATATATTTTGATAGGTTTGTGGTTTTAGAATAAACTGTTGATGAAATTCCCGATTCGCATTATTCAGTACATTTATTATTTCATATACACTTCATTGAATACTCACATACAGAATTTTAAAGGTGCCCTACTTAAGCTTAATAAATCTTTTACTTTCCTCTGTGTTTGCCCTTGCTAAAGCGTCCAAACGAATGCTGAACTGAAGCACTCTCACACTTTGCATATATTACTAATATGTGTTTTAAATAACAAAACTTGTTTTTGTTCTCTTTGTTGCTAAGAAATTTGGGAATCTGTCCGTTTGACTTGATACAAGTTAAAGTTGAAATACAAATTGAAGTTTTGTAGTTTACCTTAAATGGCAACAACGAAATATTTACAAAAAAAATTGAATATATATTAAATAGAAATAATGATTTGTATATAATTATATCAAATTTGTTTAGGGCGACCTATTATCATACATTTTAACTATATATATTTATATATATATAACTATATAATAAAATATTGATTAAAGTCTTTGAAGCAATAATTCATTTTTTATAGTGTTTTCTAGGAAAATGGCAACAACAGCAGAAATGACGGCAACAGTTGCAGTGGCACGTTCAGTGGCTCAGCCAGCCGCATTTGATGAAGAACTTGCGCAGCGAGATTTCCATGGGACTGCCCAGAGATGGAGCACCACTGAGACAGACCGTTTTGAAGGATAGATAGGTTGTGGGTGTTATGTTGTGCTTCTTGCACAAATCCAGCTCATTGTGCGTGAGCAAATTGCTGCCCAGTGGCTGAGGCAGACGTTTCAGCTCGTCCAGTTGGCTGCGCAGAATTTGGCTCATGCTTGGCGGCTGTTGTTGCTGCTGCAGTTGTTCCTCTGCCGAACTATTGCTGGCGGCGGCGGCGGCGGCGGCGGGATCGTTTAGATGCAGCTGCATTTTTAAGCCGCTTTGCAGCAGCTGCTGCTGATGTTGTGGGTTTCCCTTCGCTGCTGCTGTCGACTGTGGCAAGTTCGCCTGGGCTGCCGTCATCGTAGCCGTGGAAGTCGCTGCCGTCGCTGTCATTGCCGACTCCAATGTCAGCCCCTGGCCCATGTCCGTGCTCATCCCCATCCCCATCCCCATCGCCGTCGCCGTCGCCGTCCCCGTTGTCATTGTCGTCGGCAGCATCGTTGTCGTAGCTGCCGACGATGTCCGATAGCTATCCAAGTAGTTTCTGCTGGGCAATAATGCGCCGGAGCAGGTCGGGTCGCCGATGTGGTGCATGCTTCTTGGTGCGATTGAACTTGAACTTGCCTCGGCGCCGCTTAACTGTTCGCTGTGAATCGATGCAAACAAGAGAAAATATTGATGATATGACATGATCCATGCAGGGATGTATGTGTGGACTTACGCCTTTCTGGGATTCGCTTGAGGGGAGTGCAAGGAAGAGCTTAGCGGCCGAAGACTTCCATTGTAAGGATGTATGTTGTCCTGTGGTTAAACATTGTCTTATACAACCATTCAAACGCTGCGAGTTGGGCGCGTTGATAATACAAAGGAGCTGAATATCGTGAAAGTAAGACAAGAGACAGGGAGAACATTTTCATTGCGTTGCGTTGCGTTGCGATTCAACTAACATAGTTAACAACCAGAGCTGGAAAATCAACAGAGCTACTCCTTCATCTCAAAATGGATCAGTTGCCAATTTGGTTTTCCAGCTCTAGCAGACACGATATTCAACTCGCCATGCATTCAAATACAAGGGACCAATCACACAAACGATATGCCACACTTACGGTCTTTCCATGGCCATATGGTCCCGTGGAGCGATGTGTCGCCATTGCTGCATGCTGCTCAAAGTGCCGGCAATCGTCGATCTTCGTGATGCCATTGTAGCGATAGCGGTACAGCTCCGACTGCCTGATGCGCAGCTCCTTCTCGCGCTCAAGCGAACTGAGCAGGCGCTCGTACTCGTTGCAGGAGTAGAATTGAGCAAAGACACGAAAGCGATCACGGAACTCCTTCTGCTCCTTGGTGAGGCCCGGATGCAGCGCATAGTTGCGATTGCGAAAGAAGTTGGCCACGAGCTGATAGTCGCGCACCATTCGTTTTCTGCGTGCCCGCTCACGCAGTCGCCGTGTGTATATATCCACATGAGCCAGCTTCAGCATGATATCCACTTCCACATCCTCCGAACTTAATACAATGTTTGAGATCAACTGTTCGGCCGTTGGATCATACTCGCGCTCAAAGCTATCACGATTGGGCATGTAGCCCAGTTGCAGCGCTTCTTCATTGGTTATATCTAAGGGTGGCAGGCGGGCAAGCGCATTGGCGCCCAATGGTCCAGTGTCATCTTGAGTATGATCAACTAGGGAGGGCCGCAACAGATGCGCTGGCGTCCAAGTGGCCTTGCCAATTGTTCCATTCACAAATTTATTTACATACTCCTCTTTGGCATCCTCCGCGGACTTGGTTTCAATGTGTTTGCTAATATCCTCCCAATTGCCGAAGCCATACTGTTCGATTGCATCTAACAGACGAATCTCTTCGCGTGCCGTCCAGGCGCCCTTGCCGCGGAATACACTCAATATGGCAGTGCCGGTGTCCATAAACTGATATGCATGACTGTTTTGATGGGCGCCAATCTCTGCGCCAGTTGCGAAGCACTATAAAACGAAAATATTAATCATAACGGAAAAGTTCAAAAATACTTTTGTTTATGTGATTCTTCACGAACTATCGACCTTTGCGATAAGTAGAGACTAGTTATCCGTTACTGGCCAATACCGATTAGATCGGTCATTCAGATGATTAACTTAATTTCAAGCAGATACTAATTAACTGGAATATATTTATATATCCAGTTGCCTTGAGCTCGCATGAACTTAAGCATCAATTTTCCAGCACTTTTTATACAATGTTAAAAAACATTCAATCACATTTACTCAGACGCACTAGTATACATTTTTGCATATTTCGTTGCCGAGTACACAGAGAACAGCTGTTTAAAAACAACATCGTGAAATCGCCCGGCTATATGTACAGTTTTAGATGCGTCAGCACAAACACATATATATGTCAGCTCTTTTCGCGTTATGTCTGTGTCAGTGTGAGTAAAAGTCGATGTATGTAGCTGTATACTACATATTCATACATACACATACATATGTATACGTGTACTTATACTTACTTGGAGGCACAGGTCAAAATTTTCGCACTCAGCACAATGCACACGTATGCCTTGGATATCATCCTGGCAATTAGTGCAATTGTACTTTGTGAACAAATCCGCAATTGTAGTCATTTTGACGTTAAATAGCGTTTTTTCTTGAATAATTGAAAATGCGAAAAAACGCTTTATGCTTCAGTCGCCATCTTGGCCCAAAAACAGAGTTGCCATATCGTTCGAAAACACAGCTAACACCCTTGTCTTTCTCTGGTGTGACCAGTGCTGCATTTAGTTGTCGGATTACCAGAATGCGCGCCCAATTTAAAAATCGCACTTATTTTGGATACAATATAATATATATTTATTAAATTTCAAAAGTTTAATTCGAGTTTTGCCTTTTCTCTTGTAATAATCAATTTGTTTTTACGCTAATATCACAAAAATAATATATAAAACTAAAATATGAGAAATTCCGCATAATATCAAACCGAAACCGAATGAAATACGTAAATACATACAAATACCGATTAGTCTGTGGTTAGCTTAAGCCAAACAATAACAAAAAACATTATAAGCAATTAGCTGAATATAAATACAAACGGTGGTTATGGGAAGGAACACGTCTAAAATTATGCAAAATTTAAATAGCGTTAAGTAAAAATCAATCAAAGTATGTAATGCACTAATGCGTCGAATGATGACCGATGCTTAAATCTAAAAAAAAAGTTTTTAAATATAATTAATTATAAATATAAATATATATATGTCGATATATATGAATTGCGCTGGGCTTTCAACTTGTTGTTAGGAATTACAATGAAGCTTGCTAAATATAAGGTTATATTAAGATTGATTATTATTGATTAGTTTTGTTATATGTTGAATATGTTTTATAATATTGCTGTGTCCTTCCGAGCAGCAGCCGCTTTGGTATCTGAGGGGGACGCGGAGGACGGGGGACTCTCTGGATGAGGACTAGTAAGTGTATGGCATTTGTCGTTACTGTTGCTAGTTTGCTTAGACCATAACGTAAACAAATAATAAATAAAATAAAACAATGCTACTATATAAGAGAACTTTAACTTAAATCTTATGGCAAGTTGTTGTACAGCTGCGTTTTAGAAACGCTCACTTTACAAAACATACTTTTAATTTGAATACCTAAAATCATCTAAATAAGTCTATTTGAGCGCCAAATTCGTGATCGAGTCGCACCTGCTTGTGGGGAATTATGTTTCTATTATTATCTATATAAATATGTTTTTGATACTTTGTCGAGATTCGAGATTCACAAGCGAGCAAGATTCTGGCAGTTGTTCGCACAATTTGTCACAGTTTAGTTTTCTATCTTTCTTTTAATTTGATTTTTGATTGCGAGTTTCTTGTGTGAGCATAAAGGAACTAACAAATACTATCCAACCACGTGCAGGCGCGACGGCAAGCGTTGTCATGTGCGACAGGCAGCAGCCCCTACTAAACTGGAGCCGGCTCCTTGTCACCGCAACGAGACTCATAAATTGTTTTCGATTATAATGTCCCGATTGGGTTTAACATAAAGAAATGCAAAAGCTTTACCTAAAACATAACTATTAACTAATTTGGTATGTAAAGTCTTTGTGTCTTTAGCCACAATCTGATTATGATAAAAATTCCATGGGCTACAGCAACCGGCAAAGCAAACTAACAATAGCAACAACAATAAATTGCCAGTTAACTCACATGGGAAGGATTCCTTGATTATTATGAACGGGTCACACAATGCGGCTGCTCTGCTGCTCGTTTCCTGGTTTCTTTCCTGTTCCTGTTCTTTTTGTTGTCCTCTTGTGTTGTCTGCTGTGAGTTGTTGCTTTAGTGTAGATTTTGGCAAGGAAGCATCTAAACGTTGGCTAAGCATGGCTACAACTGGCGCTAAGGTCAGACGGGATCTATGTTGTGGGTGTGTGGGACTGGGACCAATGCTGGCTTGAACTCTAGTTACACGAATATGCAGCTCTGTGCATAAGTTGTGCCCAAATACATTCTGATCACAGCGACAGGCGCTGCTGTTGCTGCTGCTGCTGCATGGTTCAACTTTAGGTGTCGTTGGTGCGGTAATATTAGGTGGTTGTGGGTTAAGTTGCTTCTTGATAAAATACTTGTGGGGTTTGTTCATCTTTAGTTACGGTAGAATCTGCTTCTTGGGTTTTTTTAACTCAGCGTCTTCGTCACGCTTGACTTCAGTGTAGCGTTCGCCCTTGAGCGACACTATTTTATTATCACGATAGCGCACAAGCTTACGCGGCTCCATTTTGGGCACCACCGGCTTGTACTCCCGCTGAGTGGCATTCTTATCCACATACGAGTATCTGGGGAGCAGAACAAATGCAAATACAAGGACACGGAGAAACGGAATATGTTCTACCTGGCTATAATGCGATTCTTTAGCTCATTATCATCGACGACAACGTTTTTCTTCATGCCAACAGTGTGCGACTTGTCGGTCAAGCTCTGATTGGTGTCCTGGCGATGCAAGAGGATTTGTGTAGCACTATCAATGTCACCCTTCGATATAGCAATGCAATGTTTTATCTGTCAAAATGTCAAATTTTTTAATTTACAAGTTAGGGCTTTGTTTAAAAAAGTAATATTATCCATGATTATCCACGGGAAATAACTTAACATTGTTCGGACTACTGACTCACCTCGACGTAAGCAGTATCGGGGAACATTTCCTGCAGCACTTCGGCCTCATCCAAAAAGTAATCGCAATTCGAGCTGGAGCTATCAGTGGAGCCTCCATCACTGGTCTCAGACAAGTGCTGGGAGCGCTTGCCGTGGCAGCCGCCATTGCCGTTGCCGCTGCTGCTGCTATTGTTCGAGGATAATTCGTCCTTCTCCGATATGGACGAGTTGCGTGCACGCAGCTTGGACTCTGGTATAATGTTAGACAAGCTCAATGCGCTTTAAAAAAAAAAAAAAATATTAATGACACAGAAAATAACACAAATGTAAATAGAATTCGAGAATATGTTCTGGCTTACTGGAGCGATAAATTGATTGAGCTATGGTTGTCTTGATTCTTTTCCATATCGGTCAGCTCGTTGGCCAGCTTGTATATCCATTCGCATATAACGCCCTGATCGATGGTTGAAAACTCCTCAAAATAGGCGCCCATCATCTCCACGAAGCCCTCGACATCGAAGCAAGGATCCTGCGAGGCCTCCTCCAATATTGATATGATATAGGAAAGGACGATCTCATCCACAACACTAAAGTCGGCACCTGGTATATGTGCACTGACAAACTGGACAAGACTTCGCTTCACCATCTCGTGTTGTTTTTCCAAATTGGTCATGATTCCACTATTTTTTTCTATTACTAGCTTAGTTCAATTTGTTTGGGTTTTCTCGTTTGTTCGGCGAATTTCGTTTGGCTGGTTTACCTATTATTTCTGTAATGCAGATATATAGATATTGTATATGTATGTATCTTTGTGCGTGTGCATGTGTGGGGAAGTGGACACCCGACGTTGTTATATTTATTGCAAACTGTGTCGGTTAATTCATTGAGTCTAAAACATTTTTATATTAATGCAACATTAAAACAAACTTGAAATAAGAATTCGTTTTAAATAGCGTACTTTTTGCTTGCTGCGCCTTTCTTTTGCTGCTGCTGCTGCTTCTTCTTCTTTTCAATCAATAATACTTTTGCAGCGCAATTGTGACGAATATTAAATTTATCGAGAGAAAAATACTGCACACGTAAATTATCGATATAATACCACATTCGCGTGTACAATTTGAATGACAGAATAAAATTAATTAAGCTATCAATGCTATTCTATTTATGATTTATTTATTAATACATATTTGTTTTGAGATAAATGTAATATAAAATGTTTGATAAATATAGTGCGCTACACATAGTATTTGCATGTGGTTATCATAATACTGAGAGACTTGTGCTCTTTAATACATAAATAAATAGTGGGATAGATTTGATATTAAATTGTATGTATATATTCATTAATGTATTATAAAACCCTATGACTCTGTGAATAAAAACATTAAATTTTATACCTTTATTTTTATTACTATTAAAATATATACATATAATATGAAATTCAAATGAGTTTAAACAAACTTACTACTTATCCGAGATATTTTCTGGAATAATTGAAAACAGCGAATCTCTCTTATGCCGCCATCCTTTATTCAATTCAGCAACTATCGATATTTGTTAGAGGATAGTTGAATAGCGCAAAAATGTTTATTTATTATTTTACAGCACTACAAATAAGTGATTGCAATTCAAATTTACATATATAAATTGTAACTGTCAGTTGGAAGATTATGCACCTGCCTAATGGGGTTACGTAAATAAAACACCTACTACAGATTGTCTGTTTTTGCAGTACCTGTAATGCAAAGGTAGAGCTTATGCATGTATATATAAGAAAGACGAAAGCAGGTCAAAGTTTTGGCAAAGTCGAGATATCGTTCTGAGCCACATTTATCGCGGCCAAGGGGCTGCTGAACTTGTCACGTTTGCCTCAGTATTGGTATTAGCTGCTAGCGGTAAACTTCATTTTATTGAACGATGATAGTATTTATATTATATTGAAGTTCAAGGTTACAATCGCTGCCGAACAAAAGAGAATTGAGCGAGAGAAGCACTAATTAGTAATCACGCGAAACGCATGATAATGATAAAGCATACTAAATATATGTAAATGAAAATCGGTTTTGAAACATGTATTTTTATACATAAGACCCGGAAGCTCGCTTACTATCGCTATTTCACTCACTAGACAGTTGATTTACCTATATGGAGTGGAGTAAATATTGGCCCATGTAGTTAACAGTTGGATTTTTGGGAAACCTCTGACCGATCTGACTGATGAGCTATTTTTCCCATAAGCGAAATGTGTTAACACGTTTCGAATTTTTGCGTAATTTCTCGTTAAATACCTCAATGGAGCGGAGCCAGCCGAGTGTCATAAGAGCTGTCTTTTTAGTTCGTGCACTGTTTTTTATTTTTATTTATTTATTTATTTTTTTTGTACAATTTGTTTTGCCGTGACAATGATAATAAATCAATTAGTTGGAAGCTATTTTTATGCTTCTAAGGGTTTTACAGTTGAAAAGCTTTTATTTTGTTCAATTGTTATACTCGTTACCTGAATAATAAGAGTATATTGGTTGTGTACAGCGAGAGAAATTTCGAATATATATCGAATGGTCGGTATCCATGATCATTGATAACAGTAAAATATCTTTATAACTCCCTTTTATCAATATAGGAATGCATTTTAGTTATTTCTCACTTGAAGGGTGGGAGTCCCCAAATTTTTACATGCGTCATTATTGATCTCTCCTTACACATTGTATGGTTCTTCAATGGAGAGCGTTATATCCTCGAATATACTCACTTTTCAAAGTGCTTTTGGAGCCATACCAAATTGTAATGGTTATTTTCGTTTTTTAACGAGGGTTTTGGAATTACCGCGCAATATCTTAAGGTACAGCGCGTGACTTCTAGGGAGGTGAATAAACTTTTTGAAAAGAAACAACCAATTCAATTTTTCGCAATACAAAAATAACAGTTTTGCTTTCTTTTGGCCCGCTTAGCAGACGCAATAATTGTTTCAAACTTGACCTTACCACCAAAAATAAAATTAAAACAAGTGCCAAAAATAAAAATGTCTTAAGCCGCAACTGAAATCAGCAATTAACGCGACTTCGATTTGCACCAGGCCGAGCAATACAGAAATAAATAATGGATTGACCAACACACCAAGCCGAAACCAAATCACGGGCCTGTTAGTGTCGCTCTTTATGTGTGAGTGTGTGTATGTGTGTATGTGTATGGGCCTGGGCCTGGCTCCGCGTTCTGGCCGCTGCCGACGCCAGCGGCGCGGCTTCGTTGACGACGTCAACGCTTCGGTTCAGCCGGCGGATGAACGCGCAATTTTTGTTTATTTATACAGCCGAGCGTGTAGAACTCCGTATTAGTGTCTTCTTGGCGTTCGCCGTTGACGGGTTTCTCGTATCCTCAGCTAACCCAGTGTGAGTGTCTGACAGCAGTTCAGTGATTCGTGCTGCATAACGTGTATGTGTGTGTGAGCGAGTGAGCGAGTGTGCTGGTGTGTTGTAACTGTGTGCAACGGGATCATCCATAACAAAGTACAAATCAGGTACGGAAGTGAATCGATCGATTATGATCGATAATGGGTAAACAGTGTGAAAGTGAAGCCGATATCGATAACAAACGCACATAAATTAGTTATGGACTGGACTGGACTGCCGCTGGCTGTAACTAACTGGCTGTCAAATGTGACTGTCAAATCTGGCTGAAAGGCCAACTCGAATTGTTGCACATTTTGTGTTGGTGATGTTTGCACCGACTTGCCGCAACGCCGCTCATTTTAGCACAGCATTGGCTGAGCTAGTCAGGCTGCCTTGACTAATTTTCGTTAGTTGCAATTTTGTTGCTCTTTGCTAATGTTTCTTTATTGGTGCCTGGCACTGGCTGTCTGATATTTCTAGTTGACCTTAACCCAATGCAATGCACATAGATTAAGTGCTGAAAACTTGTCTGAGGAGCTGCTGCTGCTGTTGCTGCAGTTGCAGTTGCTGCAATTTTGCCAGCCACCCAAGGCCAAGACTGACAACTTTGAGGCGGCCAAAACTAAATGCTTTGAACTTGTAATCAATAAATGGCGATTACATTGCCAGCTGCATCAAGATCAATTCTAATAGCGAAACACCGCCTCCACTCGCCCCACCTGCCGTCTCCAGCCATTTTCAATTTACTAAATGGAGCGCTGCTGAGTCGGCAAGACTTGGGCAACCGAAAGAGACCCGAAATGTCAAAACCCAATTAACGTTGCAAATATTTACCAAGTAATTAAACGAGCGCCTCTTTGGCTAAGACCTGGTCTCTCAGTTGCCCAAGAGTCGTTTCACGTCTAGGCGCTAGTCGCTAGGCGCTTAAATCAATTCAAGGGCTAAAGTCAGCTCAAAAACATATACTAAACAACATATATAAGTTAGAGCCTCGACTAATTGATTGACCCCCCTTATGCCAAGCAAAATAGTAACAAACAGTTAGGTACTGGGTGCTTATAGCAATACTGACTAATACAACAATAAGGAAATCTATTAAAGCCAAGTTGAAAGAAGAAAGAAAAACAAAAACAAACGAAAACAAAACACATTAAGAGAGCTCATAATACTTTTGACCAAAGTCGAATTTAATGTGCAATTTATTATATCTATATGTATCTATTTTTTGGTTTACTAATGCATAAATTAAATATATATATTCCATATGTATATGAATATGAATGTTAAAGGTCTTGAGTACATACATAATAATTATCTAATCGTTAAATCTTTGACATATTTGCTTTCAAGCTTGGCAAAGATTTCCACGTATTTAACTTTTCTTATACTCTTCTCTTTCTATCATTCTGTTTCTGTCTCTTGCATAGCTGAAAAGTAAATTTGACTAAGCCCGACAGCTAGACTTATGAATGTTTGAAAAACAAAAATATATAAAATAAATAATATATTGACTAATAGATGTGGTTATATATTAAATAATATATTGTAAAATACAAAAAAAAAAAAAAAATTTCCATTCATAAATCAATATTCCAACGTTTTGTATTTATTATAGACGTTAAGTCTTGTTAATACAAACATCAAATTTCAAATAATATTTTCCGATTTCCTATAAGCAATCTAATTATCTTTAGTTTTCCTTCCAAGCAGACATACAGTAAAAAATGTTTATTAATTTTACACAAAAAAAAAAAAGAGATTTTCTGCTGTGTGTTGATTTTTGATTGGCATATAGATGGCTCACAAATTCAGCAAACTTCCACTCAGTAAGCATATACGAACACACTTATATATCTATCGTCTGACTCTATATGACCAATAGGTCATATTTGTCCAATTCCATCGTGTTACACCATCGATAATGGGGTAAAAATCTGGTGTTAGATAGAAAATGGCAGTGCACAGAGTCACTTCTAGGTACGGACAATTGTTTGCTTTGCCTTTAGCATATGTACAGGTAGATGCGTGTGAAAATCACGTTACAATGTATGCACACACTAAACATCCGTGCCGTGCCGGAGCTTCGATCTGATGCTTTTCGGTGGTACTTTGGGTGTGAGCTTGGGGGTCACACGCCACTTGGCTGTGTTTGTGTGAAAAACAAAGTGGGGAAAATTATAGAAAAAAGATACAACAAAATTGTATACATGTATATGTATGTGTGTGTATGTGTGTGTGCATTTGTCGCCCATTGGCTTGTAATTATTTGCCCAGTGCAATTATCTAAATGCAACAAGCGAGTTGCAGCAGATGCAGCTGCACTGAAAATCATTAATTGCGTCGTGTGAAGAAACAACAAAGTTACAGCAAAAAAAAAAAAAAAAAAAAACAAAAGAATATTCTAGACAAATGTACATACATACATAAAACTAGATATATAGATAGAGTTCTGTGGGCGTGCTTGTGTATGTGAAGTGTATAAGAAGTAGAACCTGAATAACTGGGCTAAGTTCACTAGCCATCAGTGTTTAGTGTGCTTAATTTATTTTCGATAGCCTTAAAACTGAATATATTTTCTTGCTCAGAATCGTAGAAGATCTCTAAGTGGAGCTCTGTGCAGCTGCCTAAGCCTCTAC